TTTTTTTTTTTTTATAGTAGAGACGGGGTCTCGCTCAGGCTGGTTTTGAACTCCTGACCTTGAGCAATCCACCTACCTTGGCCTCCCAGAGTGCTAGGATTACAGGTGTGAGCCACCGCGCCTGGCCAAAACAGTCTTTATCCTCATGGAACTTACAGTTTAGCAGAGAAATCCGACATTACACTGTTATAGTTGTGAAAAACACCGCATTAGGAGAAGTACAGATTGCTGTTACAATAATAATGGTAGTAGAAGTAGTAACTAACATTTATATAGCACTTGCACTTGTTATATGCCAGTCATTATTCTAAGATCTTCCTGTATTGACTTGTGTAATCATCATCCCTTACGTAGATACTTAGTATCCCACTTTACATTTGAGGAAACTGAGGCACTGGTTGGCTGAGTGACTTTGCCATAGCCAGATTGCTAATAAATGGCAAATATGTGATTTAAGCCTGGCTCGAGAGCCCAGGTTCTTCCCTACTTTATTGTACTAGAGACTTAATCCAAGGGAGGGCTGTTAGGGAGGGCTTCTTAAGGAAGAGATATTTGAGCTGAAATCTGAAAGTAAAAATTCAAGTTGATGTAAGGGAAAGCATGAAAAAATGCTGGGTAGGAAAGAACATGTCACCTTAGAGGACAAAGGAGGTCAGAGAGCAACAGATGGTGAGAAGAGAGAGGGATGATATCTGGTTAAGAGGTAATATGGCAGGGTGAGGATTCAGGACTGGCTATATGCTAAGAGGCATAGAATTTATGAGCATCCTTTAAATGGGAATAGTGTGATACTCCTGTGCTTCAGATGCCTGGAGGCTGCTGGGAGGACTGTCCTTCTGACTATTTAAAACTAAGCTCACCACTTCCCCAAGGCTTCTTTTCAGGTTAAATCTCCCTGGCTTCCTTACTCTTCCCCATGTGATTTGGTTCCCAGACTTTGGTGTGCATCGTCATTGGGATTATGTGTAGAACTTTGGAAATGCGTGGAGTGTATTTAACAGTCGTTTCCCCCCAAGGTTCAAGCACTGTCTTCCTGTTGGCCCTGACAATCATAGCCAGCACCCGGGCTCTGACACCCACTCACTACCTCACCAAGCATGATGTGGAGAGACTGAAATCCTCGCTGGACCGCCCTTTCACAAATTTGGAATCTGCCTTCTACTCCATCGTGGGACTCAGCAGCCTTGGGGCCCAGGTGCCAGATGTAAAGGTAAGGCTGCCTTTGTCCTGGTGGCCAAAGTGGTTCAGAAGAAGGTTCGTCCCCACAGTAGGTTACCTTTGAGTACTTCAAAACTAACTCTTGCTCATTTGAGGATAACCAAAGTTAATCCAATATGAGAAATAATGTATTTCAATCTGACAGATTTTTTTTTTTATTGCTTAATATGTTTAGGACCATGCCAGATTTTTGTAGTGAAATATAAAGAAAAGCAAGTCTTAGATCCTCTAGAAACTTTTACCATATCTCTGTGAGGAAGACTGTTCAATATCACATGTACCCTAGGTATGTGGCTAATAAATAACAGAAGAATTCAAGGGGTACTCACATGTATTAAACAGTGGTGGTCACTACATCAGGCAATTTTGATATTTTTTTTGACTTTTGATGAAGAAAATGCATCATGATTAAAATCTTTTCTGGATTCAAGAGCAGTCTTAAGTGAATTTACATTGTGTTCATTATAATACTATGGACAGCGGGACTAAGGGATTTTCCTGTGCCAGGTTTCTCACATACCTTAGTTTTCTATGACTGCATAACAAATTACCTTAAATTTAGGGGCTTAAAACACCACTCATTTATTAGCTGATAATTCTTTTTTTTTTTTTAAAAAACAGGGGTCTCACTGTGTTGTCCAGACTGGAGTACAGTTGCTATTAACAGGTGCAATCATAGTATAGTACAGCCTTGAACTTGTGGGTTCTGTGATCCTCCCATCTCAGCCTCCCAAGGCACATGCCACTGTGCCTAGCTATTAGCTGATAGTTCTGCAGGTCAGAAGTCTAGGCAGGCTTGCCTGGGCTCTCTGCTTAGTGTCTCCTAAGGTTAAAATGAAGGTGTTGGGCAGGCTGGCTCTTATGGGAAGCTTTGGGCAAAGAAACTGCTTCTAAGCTCATTAATTTTTTTTTTTTTTTTGAGACAGTCTCGCTTGTTGACCAGGCTAGAGTCAGTGCCGTGGCGTCAGCCTAGCTCATAGCAACCTCAAACTCCTGGGCTCAAGCAATCCTTCTGCCTCAGCCTCCCGAGTAGCTGGGACTACAGCCATGCGCCACCATGCCCGGCTAATTTTATATATATATATTAGTTGGCCAATTAATTTCTTTCTATTTATAGTAGAGATGGGGTCTCGCTCTTGCTCAGGCTGGTTTCGAACTCCCGACCTCGAGCAATCCGCCCGCCTCAGCCTCCCAGAGTGCTAGGATTACAGGCGTGAGCCACCGCACCCGGCCAACCCGAGCTTTTAATTCCAGCTCCACCTCTCTGGAAAAAGGGAATTATAAAGCCTACCTCACTGGATTGTTACAAGGATAAAGTGAAATCATATTATACCCACCAAAGGCTCTCAAATACTAGCAATTATTGTCACTCTTAATATTAAAAGGTTTTCTTTATAATTTATTTAAGGGGGTTCAGGCAGTGCCTGATGCAGATACTATATTCATGGTACCTTTTGTAGTGATGCCTCAGCCCTCTGCCCTGGTTTTCTTGATGACTGTAGAGGGCCTGGATGGGACAGAAAGAACAAATTAATTAGAAGTGTTGTACTGTGAGGGGTAGTAGATAAAATTGGCATATTAGATTAATGTTAAATTTTGGCAGGATTTGAATGCAGGGTGGAAGGTTTCTGCTGTTGATTTTCAAACTTTTTTTTTTTTTTTTTTTTTTTCGCTTTGTTGCCCAGGCTAGAGTGAGTGCCGTGGCGTCAGCCTAGCTCACAGCAACCTCAAACTCCTGGGCTCAAGCAATCCTCCTGCCTCATCCTCCCAAGTAGCTGGGACTACAGGCATGCGCCACCATGCCCGGCTAATTTTTTGTATATATATTAGTTGGCCAATTAATTTCTTTCTATTTATAGTAGAGACGGGGTCTCGCTCTTGCTCAGGCTGGTTTCGAACTCCTGACCTCGAGCAATCCGCCTGCCTCAGCCTCCCAGAGAGCTAGGATTACAGGCGTGAGCCACCGTGCCCGGCCGATTTTCAAACTTTTATGGAACCCTAGGATTCACTTTAGGGGGGTCATGGAGGCATCAGGTACTCTCACTTCATCCAGAGCGATGCCTTTTTATCTGTGTTGTGATTTAGAGTTCCACATGAGATTTAGGTTGAACACAGACCCCTAAAGGTGTTCGCTGCCAGTGTCATGAATTTGAGGGCATGTTGGTGAGGACTGAAGATGTAGAATGAATGGCCACATAGACAGCTGCCATGCCGTGTGACTTGGGATAATTAATGATTAGGCCAGCTGCGGCTTTAGGTTTATAATTTAGGCTCTGAAGTCGGACTGCTCGGCTTCAGGGTGTTAACTTCAGAACTTCGTAACTCAGTCACCTGTGCAGCTTACTTAACCTTTCAGAAATTTTGTTTTCTCATCTCTGAGATGGAGATGATAATAGTTCTCAGCTCACAGGTGATCTAGGCAGGGTAGTTAGCACTTTGGCATGTGGTAATACATAGGAAGTATTAGCTTATATTCATGGTACTTTTATATAATAATAGCAGTTGGTGTACATTGATTGACATTTTTTTTTCAAATTGTCTTCCTGCTGCTTAGCATACATCTGACACACAGAGAATGTTCAACAAATGTTTGTTGAACGGATGAATTGTAAACTTTAGCTTAATAGAAATGGGAGCTCTCTAAATGTGCCCCATAATCAGAATATAAATAGGTTAATCACACTTCATTCTGCTAATTGCTTATGAAATGTGCTGTGGTGATTAAGTGGTATGTGTGTTATAATAATGGAAGAAAGGGAGTTGTATGGATGTTTCAGAGCTGTTGAATTAACTTATTAGATGCGCACAGTAAATAAATCCATTGAGAGAAAGTCTCTATTACTGTCCTGTGTTCTGCTTAACTATTGTTGCTTTCAGCTGAGCAGAACTCCCTTAGCCCTGTTCAACCCTGTTGGTTGTTTTCAGAGATAGATCCTTGAGGGAGATTTTGGTTATTTTGTCACAAGAGGTTTTAGCAGCAAAACTGGGAGAAATGAGAATTTAAAACTGGGAGATTAATGAGAATACAAGAATAGAAAGCAGCTCTGGAAACAGCAGTATGGAATGAGAGTTGAATTTAGGTATTATGAAGAGTGAGCATCTTTCATTGTGATAGGTATTATATTTATATAAATCATAAGCATATCAGAATAGTGACTTTATTTATATTATTGTTTAGGTTTTTACAAGGTTAAGAACGTAAGAACAATGGGAGTTGTTTTGTATTTATTTTAATAAAATAGTGAATGGGCTACGTACTATGGCAAAAATGGTAATGGTAGTATTCCAATGACTGAAACCAGGAAATGGATAGTATTCACAGGTTGTCAGTCAATCAGGCCCTTTCTTTATCTGTAAGCTAGGCATAATAATACCTACCTTAATAACTGTTGTGAGGTTTAAGTGAGATAAGTATAAAGTGCTTAGTGTAGTTAGTGTCTGGCTCATGGTGAGTGCATATAGAAGTAAGTGTATTTGTTTTTTGGTTTTTGGTTTTTTTTGAGACAGAGTCTCACTCTGTTGCCCAGGCTAGAGTGCCATGGCATCAGCCTACCTTATAGCAACCTCAAACTCCTGGGCTCAAGCGATCCTCCTGCCTCAGCTTCCCAAGTAGCTGGGACTACAGGCATGCACCACCATGCCCGGCTAACTTTTTCTATATATTTTTAGTTGGCCAATTAATTTCTTTCTATTTTTAGTAGAGACAGGGTCTCGCTCTTGCTCAGGCTGGTTTTGAACTCCTGATCTTGAGTGATCTGCCCGCCTCAGCCTCCCAGAGTGCTAGGATTACAGGCATGAGCCACCGCCTCCGGCTGAAGTAAGTGTATTTATGGGCCTGGTACTCTCCTGTGCGCCAGGCATTGTGCTAAGTATAGAGACAACACCTTGTTTGCTAGTGAGAGACAAGTACCCTAACATAGAGTGCTGAGTACAGAGGCACATAGGTATGGCTTGTGGAAAGTACCATGTAAGTCCAGCAGAGGGAGCTGGCATACACCTTGTCTGCCAAGAAAACTTCCTGCAAGCCACAATCTTGTACAGGGGGAGTTGCTGTCTGTGCTGGCTGCTGTATGATTTCATTTAGTCATTCAACAAATATTTAATGAATTTCTGCTATGCACTAGGCATGATGCTAGGCACTGAGGATTTAGTATTGAACAAAAAAGAGGGCCCTGTACTCTTAGAATATATTGTCTAATAGTGGAGATAGACATTAGTCATGTAATCAAATATATGTACAATATTTGTAACAATGGTAAGTTTTTTGAAGGTGAGATATATGCTGTTAAAAATAATGGACTCCTTTAAATGTAGAATAGGAGGCTTTGACCTGGTCGGAAAAGGCTTTCCCAAAGAAATCTCTGGACTTATATCTCACTCAGCATCACACTAAATTACAACTCTTCGAGGGCAAGACTTTATCCATTTTATTTGTTGTGTATCCCCAGGGCCTAGACTAGCACTTGACGTGTGGTAGGCACTGAGGAGCTGCTGTTTATTAAATGAAGGAAGGCATGATTGATCTGAATTCTAAAGGGAAAGTAGGAGTTAACTGGGAGATGTGGGGAAGGGAAGGGATTTGAGGCAGAGGGAATAGCCTGTGTGGGTAGAGAGCAGGTTATATTTGAGAGTCTAAAAGGAGGCCATGTGTGAAACAGAGAGTGGGAGGGAGAGGAGTGAGGCTAGAGAGACAGGCTAGGGCCCAGCCACAGTGCCTTGGCAGCCACAGGAAAGGTTCTCATCTTTCTCCAATTGATGAGAAATTGATTTAAAACAGTGAAATTGATTTTAAACAGTGATTCCAGTCTGCATTTGGGGGAGATTTCTGCTCTGCATTGTGGAGGACACACTATAGCAGGGGGCTCTGGGGCTAGATTGAACGCAGAAGGGGTGTAAAAGATAACAGGCAGATTTCCTACTATTTTTGCTGCATGGATGGATGGTCAGACCATTTCCTGAGATGGGAACACAGGAAGAGAATTAGGTTTGTGTAAGGGAGATCGTGCATTTGGTCTTCAACATGTTGAGCTTGAAGTGCCTTTGCGTCATATGAGTGGCTGTTGAAAGAAGTCTAGGCTAGAGGTACAGAATTCTGAGATAAAATTCTGAGAATTATCTGCATGGAGGTTTGGGATGAAGCCGTGGGCATGAATGAGATAGCCTAGGGAGAGGAAGGGTTTGGAATGAGAGGTAGGCCTAGGAGGTGAGAAACTCCCGGATTGAATGGCCAGGCAGGAGAGCTTGAAACTGAGAAAGAGCTGCCAGAGAAGTAGGAAGAAAACCAGGAAAGTGCGGTGGAATCCCACAGACCAAAGGAAGCAAACATTTCAGGATGAGAAAGTATCCAGTGTTGAGGGAATGAACACTGGAAAATGTCCCTTGCTTTAACAGATTGGTCACCAGTAGCATGCCAGGGGCAGGAACCAAATTGGAGCAAGTAGAGGTGAGAAAATGAAGACTTGAGCACAGGCAGCTTTTTGGAGGAGTTTGGCTGTGTGGGAAGAGAGGTGGTAGTAGCTGGAGGGGAGAGAAATACTGAGCGAAGTTGTATTTTAAAACAAGTCTTGAGTTTTATTAATATGTTTTAGGAGAAGGTGAATTGATGAAATAATGGGCATCCAGGAGGAAAGAACAGGCTGTACCAATGCCTGGAGACTTAAAAGTGCTTGTGTTTTGGGGCAGTGAGTTCTGGTTGGGGCAGCTAGAGCAGAAGTGTGTGGGGGCACATGGGATAATGGGCCTGGTGACAAAGGATCTGGTGTAGGGCTCCAGCCAGGGTGCGCCTGGGTAGTGCATCATGGTAAGGACATCTGCAGAGATTACAAAGCACAGTTTAAGAGGCAGCAAGAGTAGCTGGAAGCTATTTATGGTGGAAATAGAGGGAGGGGAGGGCAGATGAGAGAGATTTGCTCCCTTTTCTATAGGACTTGGTACCTGATTAGGTTCAGGGTGTTGTAGGGGAAAATGTATAGTAGAGGAAAGCACTGCTATTCTTTGCTCTGGAGGATGTCTAGATAATTGGAGTATTAATTAACACAGGGCACAGAAAGTTGGAAGGAAGCAGGTAGGTGGGCATTTAGGGGATGATTTCCAGCCTTCAGTTGGGAAGATGAGTCTGGAACATGATAGGGCAGCTGGAGTCAAATCCCCTAGAAGCGGCTGGCTGAAGCTCAGCATTGGGTGGGGTTCACTGAGCATGTTCTGAGAGATCTTCCCCTGCTGCTGCTGCTGTTAAAACTATACCAATTAAGTTCTAAGCTCAAAAAGAAAAAAAAAACTATACCATTAACATCCTGGGCTTTCAAGCTACTGAATGCTGGACCTGTTTACCTTGATTTGTCTTTGCAGAGAATTAGTATAGGCATGATTCCTGTTTTACTCCAGAACAGATCATTTTTAGTTGTCTCTTGAGAGATAGAGGTTGTGTAGCTGAGATTCTGGAGCCAGACTGCCTGGATTTGAATTCTAGTTCTCCCAGTTATGACCTTGGACAAGTTACTTTGCCTCTTTAATGCCTCAGTTTTCTTGTCTGTAAAATAAAGATAATAAGAGCACCTAATGCAGGAGATTATTTGAGGATTAAATGAGAAATGCACATAAGGCATTTCGGACAGCGGTGACACATTTTAATTGCTCAAAAAGAAGTAGCAATGGAAGTAGAAGTAACCAAGCAATCTTAGTTTTGGCGTCTTGAGTGCTGTCATTCCATTGCTAAAACACCAGATGGCGACAAGCACATGTCTTAAGCTTACAGTCTGCTGCTAGGATGGACTTCTTGAGTAGATTAACTTGTTTTATAAGATCCCTAAATATCAAGCAATGCAGAATCGTTATTAGTGAAAAGCAACAATCTATTTCATGGTCCACCTTGCCCTACTCCCTGTCCTGTGCCCCAGAAGCACCTATTTTGAACTGTTATTATTGCCATATAATTTTGAATGGTTGAAATTTATATTTTTTCAACCAAAATATTTAGTAATATAACCATTCAATAATATTTCTTCGAGTTTGATAGACTAGAACTAGCATGGGTTTTGTTATGTGCTTACTCTGTACCGGTCACTGTGATGGGTGTTCAGCAAAGTCCCTGCTCTCAGGTAGCAAGTTACTGGAGGAGGTAGTTAATACAGTGTGGCAAGTGCTTTGGGGAGCAGTTGAGAGGGAGGACTCCTGGCCTCTCCTGGAATGAATGTCTGGAAGAGGTAACATCCGAGCAGAGATGAAGATAAGACCTGGTTTGGCAGATAGGGACAAAAGAAAGGGTGCTCCTGGCAGAGGGAGTAGCAGGTTCAAAAGTACTAAATGGCGAGGGTGTAGTATAGTTGCAGTAGGGTGGAGGGTAGGATTTTGGAGTTGGAGGTGGGGATGTGGTGTTGCCGCTGGCACAGAGTGGGAGGGTCGGTCAAGAGGGCATCTTATCCCGTATCAGAAACTTTGGCTGTTATCTGAGAATTATATATAAGGAACCACCAAAGGGTTTTAATAGCACAGCAACACAGTTACATTTACACTCTTTGAAGGTCACACTTGAAGCAGTGTGCAGAATGGATTGCATGGCTTGAGACCAGTTAGGAGACGGTTGTGACAGTCTAGGTAAGAAATGACAAGGGCTCACCCTAAGGCAATGACAGAAGCCAGAGGGCAGGACTAGGTTTGAGAAATGACAAGGAGGTAGATTTGATAGGCTTGGAGGGGAAGGGAAAAGTCAAGAATGGTTCCCAGGGTAGTTAGATGCATAGTGATTTCTTGTACATGAGCTGGGAAGTCCAGGTAAAGAAATAGAAGGTTTTGAGCTCATGTTAGATTTGTTGAGCCTGACTTAGCTTTGGAGACTCCTAAGTGGAGATGCCAGTATGGTTAGAGTCAGAGGAGACTCCCTGCCACTTATTAGCTTTGTCACCTTCATCAGGTTACTTACCAACTCCAAGCCTCAGTTTCTTTTTAAGTTAAATAAGGATGGTGACAGTATCTACCAAAGGGTCCTTATATTCCTTAAAAGGAAGATCATCTTTTATGGATGTCAGAGAAGGAAGGTGATGGCCACAGCAGGTGATTGGTGAAGCGGTTTCTTTCTTTCCTTCCTAAAGTTTAGAAAGAATTAAGGTGCCTTCAGTCTTATTGCTCCTTGTATGAATTGAACAATTTTGGGTAATACAGTGTCCTAAGGAAAATAACTGCTTAAAAAACTCTATCTTGTGTAGCTCATTCTTCAAGCCATCATAGATGACTTAGAATTTTATTTATCCAAAAATAACTTTGCTTTTCCATTGCATATGTCACCACTAATGTTGACTTTTCTCCCTTGTCTAGAAAGCATGCACCTTCATTAAATCTAACCTTGACCCCAGCAACGTGGATTCCCTCTTCTACGCCGCCCAGTCCAGCAAGGCTCTCTCAGGGTGTGAGGTGAGTCCAGGTTCCTACATTGACATTTACTTTAAACTGTAAAATGCATTTTTAAAGAGGAAGGGTCATATCAGATTATTATTATTATTATTATTTCTTTTTTTTTTGAGACAGAGTCTCGCTTTGTTGCCTAGGCTAGAGTGAGTGCCGTGGCGTCAGCCTAGCTCACAGCAACCTCAAACACCTGGGCTCAAGCGATCCTCCTGCCTCAGCCTCCCAAGTAGCTGGGACTACAGGCATGTGCCACCATGCCCATCTGTTTCTTTCTATTTATAGTAGAGACGGGGTCTCGCTCTTGCTCAGGCTGGTTTCGAACTCCTGACCTAGAGCAATCCGCCCACCTCGGCCTCCCAGAGAGCTAGGATTACAGGCGTGAGCCACCGCGCCCGGCCCTAGATTATTATTTTTTTAACAATGAAAATCCATTGGTGTGGGTGGGAATTCTGTTCCTGTGATTTTTTTTTTCTTAAGAAAGTATAGTTTGTTTATTTTTTCCTGGGTAGAGTGCAGTAGCATCATCATAGCTCACTGCAGCCTCAAACTCCAAGACTCAAGCAATCATCCTGCCTCAGCCTTCTGAGTAGCTGTGACTACAGGTACACTCCACAACACCTGCCTGATTTTTTTATTTTTAATAAAGCTGGGGTCTTGCTCTTGCTCAGGCTGGTCTCAAACTCCTGAGCTCAAGGGATCCTGTCACCTTGGCCTCCCAGAGTATTAGGATTACAGGTGTGAGCCACCACGCCTGGCCTTAAATAACTTTTTCCTACAGTTGTTGCTTTTCTTCTAGGAGATCTTGATTTTTTTCTTTCTATCTCTCTTTAACATTTCAAAGTGTTCAAAGTAGGCCAGTGGCTCCTGTCTATAATCCTAGCACTCTGGGAGGCCAAGGTGGAAGGATCACTTGAGCTCAGGAGTTCTAGACCAGCCTGAGCAAGAGCAAAACTCTTGATTTCTACCCCCCAAAAAGAAAAAGAAAACTAGAAAAAAGTCGTCCCAGCTACTCAGGAGGCTGAGGCAGGAGGATCCCTGGAGCCCAGGAGTTTTAAGGTTGCTGTGAGCCAAGCTGACATCACAGCACTCTAGTCTGGGCAACAGAGTGAGACTTTGTCTCAAAAAAAAAAAAAAAAATCAAAGTATACCTCCACACCAAATTTCTGGACATCATTTTATTGAACATAGAGAACCATAAAAGTAGACAAGTAACTTGTCAGCATCTTTTCAAAAGTGTTGTACAGAAGTTTTGCAAACATTGCATTCTGGTGTCTAGGGATTAGGGAATGAGTATGTATGAGGCGGTGTGACTTTGGCAGCTGCTCTGCATGCCATCCTTGGCATGTCTGCCGCAAATTGCCAAAACCTGTTCTAAAACTCTGTGTCTGCCAATTCATTCCTAGATCTCTATTTCAAATGAGACCAAAGATCTGCTTCTGGCAGCTGTCAGTGAAGACTCATCTGTTACCCAGATCTACCATGCAGTTGCAGCCCTCAGTGGTCTTGGCCTTCCCTTGGCATCACAAGAAGCTCTTGGTGCCCTTACTGCTCGTCTCAGCAAGGAAGAAACTGTGCTAGCGTGAGTTGTCATCTTGAGCACCTCTCAGGCTTCATTTGTCCTGGGTACTATCCTGAGAGGGTTCATTCATTAGTTCAGCAGATATTTCCTGGGCACCTATTATGTGCCAGGTGCTCTGCTAGGCACTGCAGACATAATATTGCATTAAGGCAGGTAAGGTCCCTGTCCTCATGGAGCTCACATAGACACAGTCTTCTGTAAACTGCTTAAGCAGAAGGCAAGTATTGAGTCACAGCATGAAGATGCAGCCACCTAGAGACCCAGTTGCCTTTTGAGGTTAGAGGGCTTGAGCAAGGATAGATAACCCAGGAAGAGCCATATGCATCTCTTGTTGAGGCTCAGCCAGGGACATTGGCAGTGGAGGCTCTGTAAAGAAGAAAGGTTTAAGGAATCCTTGGAAGTTGTGAGAGACAGCATGTGGTGGGAGAAGTGGGTACTCAGGGTAGAATATTCTAGGAATCAGACTATCCTGCTCTGCAAAAGGCTCAGGTGAAGGAGAAGCACCTTATAGAAAGGGGCTTGGAGGCCAGGCGCGGTGGCTCACGCCTGTAATCGTAGCACTCTGGGAGGCCAAGGCGGGCGGATTGCTTGAGGTCAGGAGTTCGAAACCAGCCTGAGCAAGAGCGAGACCCCATCTCTACTATAAATAGGAAGAAATTAATTGGCCAACTAATATATATAGAAAAAATTAGCTGGACATGGTGGCACATGCCTGTAGTCCCAGCTATTCGGGAGGCTGAGGCAATAGGATTGCTTGAGCCCAGGAGTTTGAGGTTGCTGTGAGCTAGGCTGACGCCATGGCACTCACTCTAGCCTGGGCAACAAAGTGAGACTCCTATCTACAAAACAAAAAAAAAGAAAGGGGCTTGGAACAACTTTCCTGTGTTTATTATAATATTGTAACTGACTTCAGAATATTTGCTAAACTTATGAGTGATAATATATGTAGTTTTTTCCTTTGACACTAAAACTCTTCATTGAAAACAATATTTTTGTATTGTTTGAAACCCCACTCAATTGTAAACCCTGAAAGAGGGTGTGAAATGCCTGGGGAACCTGTAAATTATTAAGCAAGAGGTTGGTAACACGAATTCCCCTTTTCAAAACAGTGAGATTATTTCCCAGTTTTTTGATAACAGCTAAATTTTTTCTAAACTTGAAGCTTTGTTAGGGCAGTGCTCACAATCAGTCGACATTCTTTCTTTGTCTCTCTCACATCCTACTCATATTCACATGATCAGCGATCAGTGGCTCTGAGGGTGACTTTGCCCAGGGCTTGACACTTTTGGCCCTTTGATTTTAGGCCGCATATTTTGGTCTCTGCTCGTAATCTCTGTGGGGAATGCTTCCCCAGTCACCACAATCTCATGCCGTGATGTACCTGTCAGTGCCTTACTTCTCTGATGCCACTTCTACCAAAAAAGAAAAAACAACTTCCCATTCCCTCCAAGCTAAAATCTTCTCCGGAACAGGAAGAAGTACAAAAGCAGTACCTCCACTGTGGAGTCAGACAGACTTGGGTGTGAACACCAGCTGTGTTCGTTCTTTGCTGTGTGATTTTGGGCAAGTTACTAACCTCTCTAAGCCTCATCTGTAAAATGGAACCGATAGTCCTTGTATCATACAGTGAATGTTAGGATTAAATGCGATTATAGATGTGAAGAGCCTTGCACAGTACCCGGTTCTCAGTGGGCATTCAAGAAATGGAGTTTGTTTTCTAGATCATTTCCTTTTTAGGTCTCTTTCTTAGCTGATTACTTCCTTCATTGAGTTATAATTATTTCTGTATTAGATTATAAGCTTCTTTATTTGCAGTGCCCACAGAGCCTGGCACATAGTATGTGCCCAACAAAGAGTTAATAAAAGCTAAAACTATATATTGTGTTTCTACTATCTTGTAGAAAGCCTCAGGTGGAAAGAGCACATGCTTTGGATCATAAAAACCTTTGTTCAAATTCATACTCTTGTACTCAATACCTCTGTGACTGTAAGCAGGCTGTGTAACCCCCCTAAACCTGGAGTTTTCATTTGTAAAACCCAGAAAACAGTATCTTTCTCAGGGTTATTGTGAAGATCAAACTGGTGGGATGCCTAATATTACTACTAATTTGCTCTATTTAAGGAAATATGATATAAATTAGGACTCTTCTAAATGGGTCTTCTATATTTAAGTGGACTTATTCTGGGAAATATATGTTTGTAAACTTGTCTTGAATGAAACAAAAAAAATATTTATGGGTTTGAATGAACCATCTGAAAAGATGTCATTGTGGTCTCTCATAAACCAATTTCTCTGAATCATCTGCTGTATATTAGCAAGATAGGATCTGTTTTCTTTTTCTTTTTTTTTTTTTTTGTGACAGAGTCTCGCTTGTTGACCAGGCTAGAGTGAGTGCCGTGGCGTCATCCTAGCTCACAGCAACCTCAATCTCCTGGGCTCAAGCAATCCTTCCGCCTCAGCCTCCCGAGTAGCTGGGACTACAGGCATGCGCCACCATGCCCAGCTAATTTTATATATATATATTAGTTGGCCAATTAATTTCTTTCTATTTATAGTAGAGACGGGTCTCACTCTTGCTCAGGCTGGTTTCGAACTCCTGATCTCGAGCAATCCGCCCGCCTCAGCCTCCCAGAGTGCTAGGATTACAGGTGTGAGCCACCGCGCCCGGCAGGATCTGTTTTCTTGAATATAGTACTCCAGGGGAAAAGAAATTGCTGTCTGGGGAATAACTAATTAAAGTCAGTGGCGAAACTTTTCTAAAGCTAAGAGAATTAATTTCATTCTAAAACTTCTGAGATTGTTACTAGTATGGCACTCATTCTGAAGAAGAGAAAAACAATATCGTAATTGAAAAGTTCTTTCTAGGCTATTTTAACGGCCTTTTCTGTGCTCAGCAATTATCATGGGCAGATGTGGAATTTTACTCTTGTTTAGAAATTCAGATTTCATTTTCTTAAGTACATTATAACAACAAGTATCCCATTGGAGTTGTGGAATACTCTGGGGCTTCTCTCTGTGTGAATTGTGACCCCTCCATTTTCCAACTTGTCATCTTAATGGAATTAGTTTTCCATGGAAGGAATCTAAACTGTTATGATCTCCACATAAGCAGACGGATTCTTGCTGTACATTCCCTGACACACTGACTTGATAGATGGTGGGTTTACACAAGGGCCCAGTCATCTCTTAGGAATTAGAGAGCCATTCTGGGTTGAGCAGCAGCCTGTTTAACCACCAGGGGGCCTCAGCTTTCCCCACTGCACCCAGAAAAGCACCATTTATATTTTCTATATCACCTTCATTAAGCAAAGAGAATCTAATAAATACTATGTATACATACTGATCATACTCCATCTTAAAAAGTTTACCTTATAGAAGTATGCTCATAAATGGGTAAAAATATACGAATAAGCCATAAAAAAGAATGAAGTGCTACTACATGCTATAACATGGATGAGCCTTAAAAATATTATGCTAGTGAAAGAAGCCAGTCACAAACAGTCACATATTGTAGGATTCATTTTATATGAAATATCTAGAATAGATAAATCCAAACTATTCTAGATATTTGAATCTATTTGGAATAGTTAAATCCAAATATCTAGAATAGATAAATCCTACAATATGTGACTGTCACAAACAGTCACATATTGTAGGATTCATTTTATATGAAATATCTAGAATAGATAAATCCATGAGACATATTGGTGGCTGCCAGGGGCTGGGGGAAGACAGAGTAGAGAGAAACCACTTAGTGGGTAAGGGATTTTATTTTGGACTAGGTGGGAATATTTTGGAACTATACCAAGGTGGTGGTTTCACAGCATTGCAAATGTAATTAGTGCCACTGAACTGTTCAATTTAAAATGGTTGATTTTGTTATGAGAATTTCACCTCACATTTTTAGAAAATGATATATATAAGGGTTGTCAGTTGTACCATTGAATGACCTAGTAAAACAAATGTCTGTCAATTGGAGATTAAGAGAGTAAATTGTGGTACATTTAGACAGTATAACTATGTCATTGTTAATAAGAATGAGGTACATTTATATGTACTCATGGAAAGAGGTATACATATATTATTAAGTTAAAAACAAATTGGAGGACAGTTCTCTTTTAAGGGTGGGTGTTAACAGGAATTTTAACTTCTTTGGTAATGTATTGTTTGAATTTTTTGACAAATATGTACTTTTATGATAAAAAATAAATGGTAGGAAAAGAAAAAAGAATAGACTCTGCTTTTGGAATAAGTCCTCTGTTCCTTTCCTTTTATTTAATGCTGAAAGGCCAAGTGACTTTCAGGTCCCCCAGCAGGGTAGCCCAAGTGTTAGCCATTCAGCATGTTTGCCAAATGCTTCCTCTTCATATTGCTTTGTTCTAGTTTTCAGAAAAGGAGCTCCAGATTCTACCTAACAATCTACAGATGCAGATTCCATAATATTTCTTTGGCTTTGGAGTAAGAAATATAGAAAATTAACAGGCACCAACTTCTCCCTAGCATAGTGTCTTGTACAACGTACAGCCAAGTACACCTTGGTTGAATCCTGTTCCCACAAAGAGCATATCTCTTAGAAATTTAATTCTTGGTCTCAGTGTTCTACAAGTGGTGCTATTAGGAACAAAACCAATGTGGAGGGAGTGGGCAGTGGTGAACCTGTGCTCCCTCTCTCTTCTGTGCCCATAGTTCTTATTGCCAGTATTATTGCCTGGATTGTCTTCTCAAGCTGTGATGTTCTTTTCCACTCCTTATCACATCTGCTCCAACTAGATTATATTAATAAATAAACTCCTTAAAGGCCGAGACCAACTCATACTTCTAAAGAACAGGAGCAAGATATTCGTGAAGGTGTCTGGATATGAGAAGGGGTGAATAGTTGAAAGGAGACTTGCTTTGCCATTCATTGGGGTTCTACTTTTTACCTTCCAGAACGGTCCAGGCTCTGCAGACAGCATCCTACCTGTCCCAGCAGGCTGACCTGAGGAACATCGTGGAGGAGATTGAGGTGTGAATCTCTTTTGACAAATAGATCTTGTCTTTGACACTCTGTAGAATAGTCTTGCAGGTAGACATGCATGATTTGTTACAGTTATATTGCATTTTTTTCTTTTTCTTTTTTTCTTTTTTTTTTTTTGAAATAGTATCTTACTCTGTCACCCCAGTTAGAGTGCAGTAGTGTATCATAGCTCATTGCAATCTCAAAGTCCTGGGCTCAAGCGATCCTTTACCTTGGCCTCCCAAGTAGCTAGGACTATAGGTGTGAGCCAGTACACCTGGCTGAATTTTTTTATTTTTAGTAGAGGGATGGGGTTCTTGCTCTTGCTCAGGCTGGTCTCAAACTCCTGAGCTCAATTGATCCTCCTGCCTCAGCCTCCCAGGAGTGCTAGGATTATAGGTGTGAGCCATGGCACCCGGCTTTTTATATCCATGGCACACTTAAGTTCTTTGTATTAGAACAAAATGTCCAAGGAAATATTTGTGCCTGGTATACAATCAGTGCTCGGGAAGTGGTCATTGTGGCTTTTATTATTGCTCTATCCTTTAGTTCACCCAGGAGATCCTGATCTTCAGGGGCCACTCTCATGAAGTACATAGCCAGTGGAAGTCCTGATATTGTTATCACTGGTGCTTCACAGGCACATTAGCTGCCTGGTCTTGTTGCCCAGGAGAACAGTATATCTCTCTTCATCTTTCGGAGCATTGAATAAGAAAGGGAAATGCTGTGCTTTGTAGGTTGTATCAAATAGATGGCCATGGACTCCGTCTGTATCATGATGCTTCCTAGGTGCACTGCAGCCTGGCCCACAGCCTCCTGCCCAGAGCAGCTGGTGCCTTCCGTGCCATGAGTTCTGTGCTTGGGCATGAGTACAAGGGGCCAAGGAAGGAGCACCTTCAGAGCTGCAAAAGATACTGTTCTCTTCAAATGTCTGTGTGGTATACTTCACCTTCTGCCTAAGCACCTTTTCTGAGAAAGTACTAAGTGACTGAGATGGTCCTCAGATTTTTAGAGTAAGAGATTTCTCAAAATTGTGGCTGCACTGGGGTTGACAGTGATTTGTGCATCTCATTTCTGCTATCACTTGACATCCAACATGCTTCTGTTTTGTTATGACAGGACCTTGTTGCTCGCCTGGATGAACTGGGGGGTGTATATCTCCAATTTGAAGAAGGACTGGAAACAACAGCATTATTTGTGGCTGCCACCTACAAGCTCATGGACCATGTGGGGACTGAGCCATCCATTAAGGAGGTGCCTGCCTAACAATTCTCAAGATGAAACCCAAAAGGGTTGTCAGTTTTATCTGCTAAGGATAGCTTTTGTCAGAGAAGGAGGTTCAGATAATACTTTGGGGTGTTGTCATTCAATGTCTTGGGTTAGGCTTTATGAGGAATAGAAAGATGAAATGCCTGCTCTCAAGAAACTGGTTGTCAGTTGGACAGTCATGTAAACAAATCATCACACTTGCTTTAAATAGGGCATGTACATGTCATGAGGTAGTGGCAGGAAGGCCGAGTGCATTACATTTGTTTCATCTCCCTTTTCTTCCTGATACCCGATCCTTCTTATCTCATGAATGCTTTCCACTTTGGTGGTCCATGCAAATCCTTTCTCTGAAAAGTGACCCGTACTTCAAAATCGCCTATTCTCCTTTGCCCCTCCTGCTCAGCAATGGCTAAATCTTAGCTAATCTTTGCTGATCGACATAGTTCACTGAGAGGCATCCGCCAAGAGTTAATTCCTTTTTTCCCAAGAGGAGCTTATTAACCTGAAAGAACCTTTAGTTGAAATGTGTGTAGGAAGTCTTTTTGAGTAGGACCCTCTTTGTACCCCTTGTCTGTGAGACAGTTACCAGCCCTTGATCTAAAGTACTTAAGGTATAAGCTGCTATTATTTAAATTTTAGGAGGAGAGATTTGGGTTCTAAGTTAGAACTTTCTTTATGCATTATGAGTTTTGGGCCAAGATTGTTTAAGTAAACAGTAAATAATTATCTGTCTTGGATCATATAAATTAATTTCATATTTTCTCCAGAGGATATGATCAAATAATTGATTCATGTATTTGCATTCCTATGGTGTCTTTTCCTTCATCCTAAGTGTAGAATGTCTAGAAATAAACTCCCTTTTAATTTCTCTTATGGATAAAAGTGCAGGATTGTGGGAACTTATGGTATAAATTATTTGGGGATTCTCCTATACACAGTAAAATGGATGAATTGGTAATATACATATACAACTTAAACTTATTCTCTCTTTATTTCCAAGCTTTTGCAAACCAGGTATTTGGCTAGAGTAATTTTGCTGTCACTGCTTTCTTTTGACATAACAATTCTGGTGAACATTCATCCATTTTAACATGTCAACAGCCTGGTGATGGAAAAATGTAATTGGTACAATTAAAGAAAATTATTTCATGTCGATTGTGAATAACACCATCAGGAACAAAGGAGCTCTTTTGTTAGATGGTAGATTTTAAAAAACAACACTGATTGAAGTGGAAAATGTTTCCTTCTAAGCAAACAACCTCTAGAATTTTAATTATGCCTTTTAGGTTCTACTTTTGTAAAAAATTGCTTTTTCTTTTCTAAGCAGCCCATTAGTTCTTTTTTGTATTTTTTTAATTTAAAAATATTTTTTTCTATCCTTGCTGTAGATAATTAGGTCTTAATGGAGAGTTATTTTAGTTTCTTTCTAATGCACATTTTAGCTATGAAGTTTGGTCTTATAAATACAAATTTTGCTGCAATTTACTACTTACAGGCACGTTGGGAGGGAGGGTAGTTTAGCTGTGAGGGTGATGGGAATCAAGAAAGAACAAATTTTCTTCTGGAAGGACTTTGGGTACAAACAGACCTACATGGTCTTGCTGTTTTTGTTGTTATAACTTGTAGAAGTTACGTAGCCATCTTTGGCTTCAGTTTCCTCATTTGGGAAACATTGACAGTACCAGTTTTGTATGGCTTTTGCCAAGATTCGAGTTAATGGATATAAAGCACCCATCACAATGCCTGGCATATATAGGCATTTAACAAATGATTGCTGTTATATGTATTTTATAATATACTTTTGTATCTCAGTAGTTATCTGGAAGTATCTTGTGTTTTTATAGTAAGCATTCTTTAAATAATTGACAAATGAATGTATGCATTTCAGTTTATAGTGGGAGATGGAAAAAATCAACCAAATCCAAGTTTTAAGCTTAAATGGAGAATATTTGCTTTTTCCCCCCTCCACCAGTTTGGGTTAATGACTAAAAGACTGTCCGTATGAACACCTGAAACAGATGGAATGACTTGAGTCAGGTGGGGAGACGGGTGGCCTTCCCACCTTCCTGCCCGAGGAAGGTCTGCAGCTGTGTTCGTTCCCCTTTCCTTCCAGGATCAGGCCATCCAGCTGATGAATGCGATCTTCAGCAAGAAGAACTTTGAATCCCTCCCAGAAGCCTTCAGTGTAGCCACTGCCGCTGCTGCGCTATCCCAGAATCGCTACCACGTGCCAGTTGTGGTTGTGCCTGAGAGCTCTGGTTCCGACACTCATGAGCAGGCTATCCTGCGGGTATGACTTCCACGCCCAGACATGCCAATGTGATTGCCATTTCTAGCAGAAGGCTTTCAGAAATCCAGACCACAGTACACAGCCAATTGTAGCCCACATGAGGAAATTACCCATTAAATGTAGGACAAGGTTCACTTCTCTTAGCCTGGAAATGGGGACTTGACCACTGAGTGAACTAGTCACAGAACCCTTCAAATCTATCAAAAAGCCTCCCCCGCCCCCGGCAGACGATTTTAAATAGTATTGGCTTTCAATAAAATAAACGTAAGGAAATTGCATTTCCAGGTCCATAACTGTGGATGTGTAGAGAAGTCTTGCTTCTAAAATACATTTCCCAGTACCAAATCTTTCTAGATACGTTGTTTTAACACAGGTGTTTTAATTCCCAAGTATTCTGGTGCTGATAGGTGTTAAATTAAATACCAGGTCTCTTCCTCCCTGGTACTGATAGAATATAGTGTATCTTTCTGCCGCTTCATAGCATAGTCCTTCCTGTCACTCAGGAGTAAGCATGGACTTCTCTTTTGTGTTAACTCTTTGAACAGAGCAAAGCACAGATTTTGAATATGCTTAGAAGTTTCATTTCAAATGAGGCATTTTGGTGCTGTTTGGAAGCTAGTGACAAGCTAAGATCTTCGTAAGAGACTAGCATTTTATTAATACTCTAAATGTTGGGGTTCCACATAGGATAGTTCTGTCTGTCCCCTTAGCTCTACTTTGGTGGTCCCTGCAGATATCCTCCGGAAAAGTGCGCTATACTTCAAGATTGCATATCCTCTCCCTACATACAATTCATATTCCCTCAACAAAGACTCGAGCGAGAACCTGATTAACATAGTTCACTGTGAGTCAAGAGGGGCTTAGAGAACACGATGGAGAAAGTACTGGCTCTGAAACTAGATAGACAGATTTGAGTCCTGGTTCGACCACTTAACTGACCACGTGGCCTTTGGCAGTCCTTTAACCTCTTGTGGCCTCAGTTTGTTCATCTGTAAGACAGGGATTATGCTGTCTATCTCATATGACTGATGGGAGGATATATGTGTAAAGGGCCCATCCTAGTATCAGGCATATAGTTGACTTTCAACAAATGATAGTTATTAATATTATCTATATTTTTTCAGGTTTCCCATTGCTGATACCTTCCTAAAGTATTTTTATGGTTGATAAATTTTTTTTAAAGATTCTATAGTAGAGTGAGTGGAACAGGAAATCAGGAAAAAGGATATATAACTGTTTGTGTAATTTGGGACCAGCCATTTTCTTTCCTGGGGCTCTAGTTTCCTTATCTGAAAACTGAAATAATTGGGCAAGATCATCTTTAGGATCCTCCCCCACTTTAGCATTCTATAATCTATCCCATTCCTAATTGAATTGTGTGTTTTCTGTAATGGATTTCTGATAGGCAGCAGATCAAAGTCAGAGAAGATTTCCTGAAACAAGGCATTTGCTCTCCTGCAGAGCTTGTACCCTATAAATAAAGCACCCCAGAGACAAAATTCTCTACTCCTGCACCTTTGTTGCTACAGATAATTTTTTATTTATTTCTAGTTGCAAGTTACCGACGTTCTGTCCCAGCCTCTGACTCAGGCTGCTGTTAAACTAGAACATGCTAAATCTGTTGCCTCTGGAGCCACTGTCCTCCAGAAGACGTCCTTCACCCCTGTAGGGTAAGTGTGATCATATTTTGGCAGGGCATCAACCTGTTTGTTTTGGAAAAGTTATCCTGCAGCCAGTGTAACAGATTAACACGGATAGTGCCATGATCATAAAACCAAATTTACCTAAAGTCCAGTTAGGTAAATTTGATGTACTGGTATCAAAATGCTAGAGTTGAATATACGAAAAGGATTTTTAAGACTAAAAGAATTTGGTCTTACTTTTACTGTTTTATTCCTTGTCTATTTCTAGTTGGTTCTATGTTGTGATAAAAGTAGCTATTTTAATATTTATTGTTTTTTTCTGATGTATGAGTAATACATATTTATTATAGGAATATAGAAAAGCACAAAAAAGAAAAGATAGCTTATCCATAATCCTACCACCCAGAGATAACTATGGCTAACATTTTATAATCCTTTTTTTTTGTTAGTCTTTTTTCTATGCATATAAATAGATTTTTTAAATTCATTGAGGATTATGCTTTATAACAATGCATCATGAACCTTTTTCCATAGGATTAAGTATTCTTCTTCTACAATTATTTTTAATGGCTGCTTATTATTGCTCTGTAAACTTTTTTTTTTTTTTTTTTTTTATTAAGAGATGGAGTCTTGCTTTGTTGCCCGGTTGGAGTGTAATAGTGTGATCATATTTCACTACAACCTTGAACTGGGCTCAAGCAATCCTTCTGCCTCAGCTTCCTGAGTAGTTGGAACTATGCCATCATGACTGCTGATTTTTTTCATTTTTGTTAGAGATGGGAATCTCACTATATTGCCCAGAGTGGTCTCGAACTCCTGGACTCAAGCTATTCTCCACCTCAGCCTCCTGAGTTATAGGCGTGAGCCACTGTGCCTGGCTCCATGCTATGTAAATTTTTTAAAAATTAAGGGTCAAGCTGGGTAAAATGGCATTTGCCTATAGTTTTAGCTTACTCAGGAGGTTGAGGTGGGAGGGTCAGTTGAGCCAGGAGTTTAAGACCAGCCAAGGCAACATAGTGAGACTCTCTGTCTCTAAAATAAAAATTAAAAGTCAATTTTTATAAAGTGTTAAATTGGTAAGTTACTGAGATCAAGAGTTTGGATTTTAGAGAGAAAATGTGTTTTTTAGATAGTAATAAAAGTATATAGTGAATAAAAATATTTAAAAAGCAAAATCATTTTTAGGAATGATCAATAGAATGGTAAAAGACATTGGGATTTTGCTGTATAGTTAGAGTTAGGAATTATCTTCTTTAGCTTAAAATTGATTTTTTTAATAAAAAAGATATGTCTTTTTTTCTTTTGAGATAGTTTTGCTCTGCCACCCCAGCCAGAGTGCAGTGGCGTCAGCCTAGCTCACAGCAACCTCAAACTCCTGGGCTCATGCGATCCTCCTGCCTCAGCTTCCCGAGTCCCTGGGATTATAGGTGCACACCATAGTGCCTGGCTGATTTTTCTATTTTTAGTAGAGACGAGGTCTCGCTCTTGCTCAGGCTGGTCTCAAACTCCTGAGCTCAAGCAATCCTCCCACCTCAGCCTCCCAGAGTGCTAGGATTACAGGTGTGAGCCACTGTGCCTGGCCAAGATATGTCCTTTTTGAGAAATTGACAAAACATGGAAAAGTAGAAGTAATACCAAAAAATTACCCACAGTTATACTACTCTATGCTAACCTCTTTGAACATGTTGGAGTATTTCCTTCTACCTTTTTTTATTGTTGTTAAACATAATTAAGGTCATACTGTAGACTTAACCTATTTGACATTAAATTGTAGAAACCTACCAGACGGCAGTTGAATTTTAGGAGCTGAGGGGGAAACGGAGGAAAAGAAAACTTTGGAAACCTAGGAGGTCATTTTAGATAGTTTTAACGGTTTCCCCGCATTGTAATCTGTGATTGAGCACAAGACCCCCCCCAAGTAAGAAAGTCAAAAAGTGACTTAAGGATTGGGATATAGCCTTGAACTGTCTCAAAGAGACACTTTATAGGCCCTGTTTGCCCTATCTGTGACTTTCCTACATGAATTCTTACTAACCCTGCTGTCATTCTTAACAGGGATGTTTTTGAACTAAACTTCATGAATGTCAAATTTTCCAGCGGTTATTATGACTTCTCTGTCAAAGTTGAAGGTGACAACCGTTATATTGCAAATACCGTAGAGGTAGGTGATTTTCTTTCCATTCCCACTGCCAAGGAAATGACCATATAGACATGCAGCATTAATTGTCTGGAATATTGACTTCTCTTTGCAACCAAGCTAACGTGACTATGTTAAGAGAGGGGTAGGTTCAAACTGTGCTGTTTGACAGACTTAGCCAAGGCAGTAAATCAGGAACTTGGTCATGGCGAGTTTTCTTTTATTTGTAAATTATTCGTTTTCTATTAAAATTTCTCATTACTGTCTTACATAAAATTTAGGAAGTAGAAAAGATGATAAAAATCACCTGTAATTCCACTGAGGCATAAATCTTTTGTGAGGTAGGCTTTGGTAGATTTAGAAAAGTGCTTGATGTCAAATAGGTGACAAAAAGCATCAAATGACACATATACAAGACTGTAATGAGGCTGTCTGGGTAAAGCATAAAAGAAAATTGTAATCTATCACAATGAATGGTGTTTCAGATGTTTAGCTAACTCTAGCTGGGTTGAAAATGGAAATGGCTTTAAGCCTCATTTATCTGATGCTCTGTGGGAATGAGGTATTTCATATTAGTGTTTTTCCCAGGTGCTTGAAGTTTTACTTCTTCCAGCACTGGGGCTTTCATTTTAACCTTTTTAGATAGCAGTTTATTTAAAATGAGTTACACATTTTCCTACTTCCTTAAACTCGAGTATGGTTGAACCTTTTCTTACTGTGAATTAGGATCATCAGTGTGAACCCTTTGTTGAATGCCTGTTATATGAGAAACATAGTTCTGTGTGTTTTGGGTTATATTATTTTATTCATACAACCCTGCAAGATGATGGAGTCATCTTCATTTCATAGGTGAGGCTCAGGGGCATAGAGTAACTTATACCAGTTTAGTTAGTGTGCCCTGGGGGCTGTAGAGCTAGCCTAAGGGACTGCAGAGCTGTGTACAGCTCTAGCAGCTGGCCTTTTCATAAAGTTACTTTCTCCTTTCTCATCCACGACTTTTAGCTCTCATTTCTCAATGTTTCCACTACCATGTCTTTGCTGCATCTACCTGACTACATTGCCATGCATTCTGCTTAATAGAGACCTTGGAGTGGTACTGTGCCTTTCCTGAAATATTAAATATATGCTATTTGTGACAACTATTTTCTTTACTATTCAGATGTCATTTTCTACTCACTTTTCATTTTTCAATTAGAAATTTTTTTATCTTTTCATTTTGAAAGAATTGTAATCTTAATAAACATTGCAAAAGTAGTGTGTAGAATTCCCATATATACTTTACCCAGTTTCCCCAAATGTTAATATTTTATGTAACTATAATATAATTATTAATACCAGGAAGTTAATATTGATATAGTACTATTAACTAATCTATAGACCTTAATTCAAATTTTGCCAGTTGTTCCACTGACGTCCCTTTTGTGGTCCAGGATTCAATCCAGGATCACATATTCCTTTTGTTATCACGTCCTTAAGCCTTGTCCCGTTTAAGATCATTTTTTTGTTTTTCATGACCATGACACTTTTGAAGAGTACTGGCCAAATACTTCGTAGAATGCCTCTATTGGGGTTTGTGTGATGTTTCTTATGTTTAAATTCAGGTCATGCATTTTTTGCAATAATACTCCAAAGGTGATGTTCCATCCTTCTCAGTGCAAGAAGTATTTGATGTTGGTATATTTCATTACTGGTCGTGTTAACCATGATCACTTGAGAAAGGTGTTGTCTGCTAAGTTTCTCCACTGTAAAGCTGCTGTTTTTCTGCTTTGTAATTAAGTGTTTTGTGGGGTGATACTTTGAGACTCTGTAAATATCCTGATCATCTTGTCTGCAACAGTTATTACTATGGTGTTTGCCAAAAATGATTTTCTTTTACTCTTACATTCATTAATTGGAATTCTGCTGTAAGAAAATAACTGTCCTTTCTCCCTCATTTATTTATTTATCCAGTTATCTATAATCATAATAAATATTATAATATATAATTTATATAATGTAATGTATTTATAATTTATCATCTTATGGATATTTATTTTACTATATAGGTTATAATCCATCACCTTCATTTATTTTTTTACTCATATTATCCAAGGTTTGGCCTTTGGAGAACTGCTCAAGTTGGCTCCTGTAATACTTTATTTTGATGAAAGAAGTAGGCAGCTAGAAAGTTTGACCTTTTCAAAAAATAGGGCATTACTTAACATGGGTGGTTTAAACACTTGTATCTAAAGTTTGGCAGAAAAGAAGATGTTTTCTGGAACTCTAATCTCTCTGCCTCATGTCTGACCTTTTGGGCATGAGACATCTGATCCTAGTGTATTCGCTAAGACAGAGTTCGGGTAGAAACTATTATCGTGTGTACTTCAAACCTTTCAAATCTACTACATTCTGGTAATGTTAGTTTCCTTCATTAAGAGGCCTTATTTGCAACTTAACAGATTAAAAAAAAAGGATTTTTTATTTTTATTTTTTGAAACCTCTTCTTTCCACCTTTGAATCCAGCTTAAATGCTAGTTTTACCTCCTTGTCAGCTACCAAGTTCTGTCGATTCCACCTCTTAATGTCTTTTCCATGAGTCTTTTGTTGTTGTTTTATTAGGTATCACAAAATTGCTCTTTACTTCACATTCTTGTCATTGTTTGGTCTTATCAGTTTTTGATAATGTGATACATATGAAATGGTATCTTGTTTTAATGTTTTACTTGATTACTAGTAAAGTTGAACATCTTGTATTTCTTGGCCATTCAGGTTTCCTTTCTTGTGAATTATCATAAATCTTTGCCTGTTTTTCTTTTGGTTTGTTAGTCTTTTTTATTATTGATTTTTAGGAGTGATATTTTTTATATATATATATTTTTTAAGCCATAGCATTTATTGCATGTCTAATTATTGAAATTCTTAAGATGAACTAGATGTTGCAACAGCTGCCTTCTTGGGTTTAGGTGTTGTTCTTCATGAGATTCATGCCTGAATCTGCAGTATACCATTTTTAGGTGCCTCATTTGATCCAGTCCCAGTGGTATTTTGTCTTTTAGCCTCGCCACTCCAGTTATATTTTCTCTTGCTCTTGGCAGGGTAGCCACATTTACCATAGGTCAACTTCTGAAGGTGGTGGGCCTTAGAGCAACAGTGGTGGCATAATGTGTGCATCTTATTGTAATGCTTTTTGAACAATGATGTTCCCTTTGTCATCTTATTTCTGTGGCTGAGACCAAAGAGAAGGAGTGATATATATTTTGGATACTAATCCTTAGTTATAAGCATCAATATCTTCCCCTAGCCTCGCTTTATGGCATTTTTTGATGCATGAAATTTAATTTTAGTGAAGTCTAATTTAAAAGTCTTTTCCTAGGGCCGGAAGTGGTCACTCACGCCTGTAATCCTAGCTCTCTGGGAGGCCGAGCCCAGTGGATTGCTCAAGGTCAGGAGTTCGAGACCAGCCTGAGAAAGAGCAAGACCCTGTCTTTACTAAAAATAGAAAGAAATTAATTGGCCAACTAAAAATATGAAATGAGCCGGGCATGGTGGCACATGCCTGTAGTCCCAGCTACTCAGGAGGCTGAGGCAGAAGGATTGCTTGAGCCCAGGAGTTGGAGGTTGCTGTGAGGTAGGCTGACGCCATGGCACTCTAGCCCAGGCAACAGAGTGAGACTCTGTCTCAAAAAAAAAAAAAAAAGTCTTTTCCTAGATTGCTTTTGTATCGTCTTCACAAAAATCCTATGCTACCCCAGGATAAAAAAGGTATTCTCCTATGTTTTCTTCTAACAATTTTAAGGTTTTTTCCCCTTATATTTAGGGCTTCAGTCCACTTGAATTTTATTTTTGTTTCTTGTTGTATTTTATACCCTGTCTATAATTGTACTTCTTGAATTATATTACTATTGTTTGCTTATATGCATTGCTCTTCCACTGGGCTGAGAACTCCTGTGGGTGGAGATCAAATCTTATTTTTTTGGTGCTTAGTTTTCATCTCTGACCTCTTAGAAGAAGAAAAGGATGGAGTGCTTTAAACATGTTTGCTCACATTCCAGAGCCCTCAGAACTTTGTGGCTCACCCAAGGGGTGAGCCTTGGCTTTTATTTATTTGTTATTTATTATTTTTTATTAAACAACAATTTTATTGAGCTATAATTCTCATACCGTAAAATTTACCCATTAAAAGTATGCAGTTCAAGCCGGGTGTGGTGGCTCATGCCTATAATCCTAGCACTTTGGGAGGCTGAGGCAGGAGGATTGCTTGAGGCCAGGAGTTTGAGACCAATTTGGGCGACATATATAATTAGCCACTTGTGGTGGCACACACCTGTAGTCCCAGTTATTCTGGAGTCTGAGGCAGAAGGATCACATAAGCCCAGGAGTTTGAGGCTGCAGCAAGCTATGATAATGCCATTGTACTCCAGCCTGGATGACGGAGCAAGACCCTGTCTCAAAAAAAAGTATGCAATTCGGTGTTTTTAGTATAGTTATAGACTTGTGCAGCCATTACCACAATCTAATCCAGAGCGTTTTTATCACCCTAAAAAGCAACCCTACATCTTTTAGGAGTCACTGTCCATTCTTTTCCTCTTGGCCCTGGGATCTACTGATCTACTTTCTGTCTCTGTTGTTTGCCTATTTGGGACATTTTATGTAAATAGAATCGTATGTCACCCTTTGTGTCTGGCTTTTTTTCACTTAGCATATTATTTTTAAGGTCCATTCATGTTGTAGCATGTATTAATATCAGTACCTTATTCATTTTTATGGCTGAGTAATTGTATGGATACATCACATTTTGTTTATCCATTCATCAGTTGATGGACATTTGAGGGATTTTCACTCTTTGGCTCTTATGAATAATGCTGCTGTGAACAGTCATGTGTACGTTTTTATTTGAACACCTGTTTTCAGTTCTTTGAGATATATGCTTAGGAATAGAATTACTGGGTCATATGGTAACTCCATATTTAACTTTTTGAGAAACTAACAAGTTTTCAAAGCAGCTGTCCCATTTTACATTCCTACAAGCAATATATGAGGATTCC